GAAACCTTCCGCAGGACCTCTCATAGAGTTTAAGATATGTTCTGGGATCCTCTGACCCTCATTGAACAAAGCTGGATTTGGCTAATGCCAAAAGGCCCCAGACACCAGCCTCTGGGCCAGCTGCAGCCTGTCTCGGGGCATGTTTGCCGACTTGCTTGCTGCTGCACGTGGGTGTCAGAAGCACCAAGTAAACTATCTCTGGGGCCAGTTGTTTTCTTCTCCCTTCCATTTGTAAGTCAGTAGTTGTCTATAACTAAACATATTTTAAATGTGTTCTATGTCCCTGAAGTTGCATATTTTATCTTTATGCTTGAGTTATGTTTCACTATCTGTAGTGTTGTGGTGGGAATAATTTCATTTGTTTTAAAAGAGTTTGCCTTGGAAAAAAACTGAATTAACTTCATAAATACATTTTGGGAGATTTCACTCTACGTTTCTGGACATAATATTATTGTATAAAATATCAAAATGGCACTGTTGGTCTAGGCTTGGGTAATTATTTTCAGCAATTTAATTCATCAAATGAAATGCTATGATTTATAAAGAGTGCTTTTTTAGGTAAAATACAGGAATTGAATTGGTGAAACTTTTGGTTATTGACTGGTAAGTGATGGTGAACTGTACAAGATTATAGGGGTTTTGTAGTCTTATTTTTGGTCAAACTTTATAAATGCATTTTATGAATAAACTTCTGTTTTTGAAATCTACAGAAGCTTTGATTCTGTTACCTTAACAGTAGTAATAAAGTTGACATTGTCACATCATTTTGCTTTATAAATGCTTACTTGGTAGTTCTGAATTCACTTTGTTTCTTTAACGTTCACCGTCTCTTTAGCTAAGCTTTTGGAATTACTGACTTTATCACACTTGCATTAAGCCCACCCTCCCACTGCTCCATTCAAGACAATGCAGCCACCTAAAACATTCATAATATGTAAAATTCAGGGGATCGTGGAGAGTCACTTGTTTGAAATATTAAGACAATTAAGGTTTTTTTTTTTAGTTTCCTGGTGTTTTATAGAACAGTGCTGTGGATATAATTATGAAAGTAAAAATTAAATTGAACTTTAAAAACACTTATATCTGCTGGGGTTTTTTTTAATTTGCAAAGAAAAAAATCAGAAAATTTGTGGAAGTCTCTCTTAGAACATTTGTATTTGGTAATAGAGTCAACAACAATAAATACCTGTATTTTATTAAAACTAAGATGTTATAGATACCACTGAGGCTGTACCATTCAAGAGAACAGAGCCAACTAAAACATTCATAATATATAAAATTTGTGTGATTTCAGGGAATCATGGAGAGTCACTTGTTTGTAATATTAAGCTGAGAAAAGCATTTTTTTTTTCAAATGCTAAAACAAAAGTTTGTTTACATTTTTTTTTAATATGGAGTCTTGCTCTGTCACCCATGCTGGAGTGCAGTGACATGATCTCGGCTGACTGCAACCTTCACCTCCTGGGTTCAAGGAGTTCTCCTGCCTCAGTCTCCCGAGTAGCTGGGACTACAGGCATGTGCCACAATGTCCCGCTAATTTTTGTATTTTTAGTAGAGGAGGGGTTTTGCCATGCTGGCCAGGCTGGTTTCAAACTCCTGACCTCAGGTGATCTGCCCAACTCAGCCTCCCACAGTGCAGGGATTATAGGCGTGAGCCACCATACCCAGCCCCAAATGTTTCCTAGAACAATGGGATATAATTATGAAAGTAAAAATTAAAATGAACTTTTTAAAAAGCTTATATCTGCTTTTATTTGCAAAGAAAAAATGGAAAATTTGTGGAAATCGCTTAGAACACTTGTATTTGGTAATAAAAGGGTCAACAACATAAACACCTGTATTTCATTAAATCTAAGATGCCATTGATACCACTGATGCTCGGCTGGTATGATGATCTGCTGCCAATGAAACTATGATAAAATGCTTCTTTAAAATCATTTAGTGTTTGCTTTATATTAATTCAGTGTTCTTTTAATTTTATTTACACATGATTTTTTTTTCCATTGTATATCACTTTTGTGCATCCTTAAAAAGACAAATATATACAGGAGACCATTATTCTAAGTGAAGTAACTCAGGAATGGAAAACTAAACATTGTATGTTCTCACTCATGAGTAGGAGCTAAGCTGTGAGGATGCAAAGGCATAAGAATGACACGGTGGACTTTGGGGACTCGGGGGCAAGGGATGGGAAGTGGGTGAGGGATAAAAGACTACAAATCAGGTTCATTGTATACTGCGAGGGTGATGGGTGCACCAAAATCTCACAAATTACCACTAAAGAATGTACTCATGTAACCAAATACCACCTGTTCCCCCCCAAAACTTCTGGAAATAAAAAATTAAAAAAATATATATATATAAAATAAATTTGGTATGATATTCCTCAGATTCCTCCATATTTAGAGTTTAATTATTTTAAATCACCTTTTGAATTCAGAGCCATCAGAGTTCATGTTTTTCCCTATAATATTGTCCTTCGTGCATAAAAGTCTTGGTGATGCAGCATTTCTTTAAAACATGTTCCACTCATGTCTTCAGGGTTTTCTTTCCATTCACTGACACTTCTTCAACAGTGTTTTGTGTACACATACATGCATGCAGGCAATTACAATTGTCAAGTCCACTGCCTGCTGATCACGATTATTTTAGTTGTCTATTGCTGTATAGCAAACCACTGCAGACCTTCATATCTTATAACACTACTGATCATTTATTTTGCTGAGGAGTCTAGGATCTGGGCAGGGTTCAGCAAGGAAAGCTCATCTGTGCTCTATGTAGTGTGAGGCAGGCAGCTCTACCAAAGGCTAGTGGACCTGCTTCCAAGATGGCACTCACATGACTTGCAAGTTGGTGCTGGCTGTTAGCTGGGAACTTAATCAGACCTGAGAAGCAGGTGCTGAGCTCACCGCATGGCATGGGCTTCCTGAGCATGGTGGCCAAGTTCCAAGGGTAAGCATCCCAAGAGAAGGCCAGGCAGAAAGCTATCTTGTTTTTCCGTGGCCTAGCTTCATCATTTACTGAGCATCACTTTGCCACACTCTATTAGTTGAGGCAATTACAACCTCCTGTCCCAAGTTCAAGGGGAGGGGAATAAATTCTATTTCCTTTGTGTGTGTGTGTGTGAGACAAGTTCTTACTCTGTTGCCCAGGCTGGAGTGCAGTGGCAACATTGTCTCACTGCAGCCTTGAACTCGTGGCCTTAAGCAGTCCTCCCATCTCAGCTACCAGAGTAGCTAGGACTACAGGTGTGTGCCACCAGGCCCAGCTAAATTTTAAAAAAAAAATTTGTAGAGATGAAGTAAATTCTACTTGTTGGGGTCTTGGCTAAGTTCTGAAAAGCATGTGAGCCAGGTGCAGTGACTGACACCTGTAATCCCAGCACTTTGGGAGGCCAAGGCAGGTGGATCGCCTGAGGTCAGGAGTTTGAGACCAGCATGGCCAACATGGTGAAACCCCCTCTCTACTAAAAACACAAAAACTAGCTGGGTGTGGTGGTGCACCCATGTAATCCCAGTTACTCGGGAGGCTGAGGTGGAAGAATTGCTTGAACCTGGGAGGTGGAGGCTGTAGTGAGCTGAGATCAAGCCACTGCTCTCCAGCCTGGACAACAGAGCGAGACCTCATCTCGAAAAAAAAAAAAAAAAAGCATGTGAGACTTGAAATACTGTGGCTATTTTTGGAAAAGACAATCTAGTGCAGTGATTATAAGATGCATCCTGGGCTGGGAACAGTGACTCAACACCTGTAATCCCAGCACTTTAGGAGGTCTGGGGAGTGGATTATGAGGTCAGGAGATGGAGTGCAACCTGGCCAACATTGTGAAACCCTATCTCTACTAAAACAAAAATTATCTGGGTGTGGTGGGGTGCACCTGTAGTCCCAGCTACTCAGGAGGCTGAGGCAGGAGAATTGCTTGAACCTGTGTTGGGGTCCGGCACATCTGCCAGGGGGCTACCGACCTGCGGGAGTTCCCGAGACTGCCAACATAGATGTCTCGTTCAACCTGAGGGAGAGAGTGTGCGGAAGTGAAAGAAAAGAGAAAAGCAGAGTTTGGAGGGCTGGCTTAGGCTATGTCCAAGCAGCAATTTTATTTTTGCAATATGTTCCATTATATACTTTTCTGAAGTTAATGTTGTTTATGCCAGATCAACATACTTAAGTTACAGTAAGCAAGTTACGCCCACTAAGTTATGCCCAGTAAGTAAGTTAAGCCCAGTAAGTCAGTTACGCCCAGTAAGTAAGTTACGCCCAGCAAGTAAGTTACGCCCAGTAAGTTATGGTAAGTAAGTTACAGTTACACCCAGTAACTTACGGTAAGTAAGTCACCAAGTATAAATACTTAAGTTAATATTTTACAATGAAGGTAACAAGGGTCCAAAATGAACACAATCAAGCAATAGACCATAAAGAGCCAAAAGTGGACACAATGCTTCCCAAGTCCTAATATCCATAAAGTAATGTCTGTTAATTATTTTGAATAGCGTAGTCCCTCTCTCGGTTCCTGCTTTCCCTCAGCTCGACTCCCCCAACTGGGGATCTGTGTCTGGGCTCAAGCTCACCATATGGCGAGGCCCATTTCCTAGGGGCCTCACACGTGAGCGATCCCCACAGATCCCTCAAACCTGGGAGGCAGAAGTTGCAGGGAGCCGAGTTCACACCACTGCACTACAGCCTGGCAACAGAGCAAGACTCTGTCTCAAAAAGAAAAAAAAAAAGATGCATCCTAATTTCAAAGATGCATAAATGGGCAGAAGGATGTGCCCATTTGAATTGATGAAATCCATTACTTGGAATGCAAATACTCCTATTCCATCCATCTACATACACCCCTCACTACCCCTAATTTATTGCAGACATGACTAATCAATCATGGCATTCATTCTCCCTGAGCCTCACAAGCTTTATCGCACTCTGCTAGGAGCCACTACCAATTGCTGGCAAGTGAGACAACATTTACTCTCCTGAATCTAGAGAGCAATGCCCTGTGAAAAACACCCCTCTCCCCCAATCCTTTGCCGTGCATTTCAGTATGTCAAGAAATAATGAGGCTCTCCAGCACTAGATCATGTAAACCAAACTGATGCAAAAACCAAAATGGCATTTCATTCATAGGTAGTGAGGGATGAACCCTTAGGTACCAAAATGCCTGGATTTGCCAGCTGAGAACCTTCTTTATGTCCATTTGTCTGAGGTTCTGTGTAGTTAACTGTTTTGAAGTCTTTGTGAGAGAGTGGAATTAGAGACAGGCATTGACAGTATTTAAAAATAATGCATCCAGGCCTTAGGGAAACCTAAAAAAAAAAAACGTGTTTCAGAACAATGAAGCTCAAGGCTATTGTGCAATTTTTACTGCAAATTTGTTTCTGTTCTTTAACATACAACACTTTGCTAGGTGTGGTGGTAAATTATACAACATATGCGTAAGGGATTTCTGGAATAATTCTCATGGGGTGGCCTGGAACCTTCTAAGGAAATGCTACTTTGTAATGACTTTTTTTTTCCTTTGGCCACCAGACTGTCCTCTAAAGTAAGTGAAATATGCAGGCTTTGGATATGAAGCCGTCTTGTGCAACCTGATTATAATATAGCAGTCTGCAATCAGGTATTATGGCTCGTTTGAAAAATATCTGGGCAATTGGCTTTTAACTATGTTTTTGTTGTTGTTGCTGATCTTGAACTCCTGACCTCATGATCTGCCCGCCTGGGCCTCCCAAGGTGCTGGGATTACAGGTGTGAGCCACCGCGCCCGGCCATTTTCTTTTTTTGATTAGCTAGGTGTGGTAGCACATGCCTGTAGTCCCAGCTGCTTGGGAGGCTGAGGCAGAAGAATCACTTGAGCTCAGGAGGTTGAACCTGCAATTAGATATGACCATGCCACTGCACTCCTGCCTGCACAAAAAGAGACCCTGCCTCAAAAATAAACAAATAAAAGCAAATATTGACTGGTGATTAAAATGATAAAATAATAACACAAGTAATTAGGGGGAAAAAGTCCATCTTACCTCTGGCCTGTTTTCTGAAGGCATTGCTATTATTGATTAGGGTTAAGTTCAGCTGCAGGTAACCAAAAGCCCAAAATACGGATTTTTTTAAATGTCTCTCATCAAAATCTAGGTAGGCAGTCTGGCTGCTCTAGCAGCTCCATGGTGACCAGGCACTTGCTGCCCTGTGTCTTCTTTCCCCACCAGTCTCATGATGTATCTTTCAACTCATCGTCCAGTGTGCCTGTTCGAGGCCGAACCGTCATATCTGCATTCCAGACATCAGAAAAGCAGGAAAAGTAAGAAAAAGAACACCGGTCACTTTGAAGAACACTTTTGCTTGAATCCATTGGTCATGATTTAGTCATGTGGTCACACCTCTCGCAGTGAGACTGAGGATAAACCTGACTGTGTGCAGTAATGTACCCGGCAGATGGGAGTTCTGCTACTGAGGAAGCAGGGAAATGCACGTTGGGAGGCGTAAACTCGATTCCGCGGGGTCCTCACAGAGCAGTCAAGCACAGCCTCCCTGACTGTGTTCTCCCATGGGGTGAAAACTAGGGTGCGATCAATGCACGCTTCTTTAGGCCAGATCTGGGTCTTGGCACCCAATACTCCCTTTTGGCAACTGTCTCTTCTCCATCAGCTGTTGTCAACCAGACACTGTGGAATCCCTTTTTTTTAATAGTTACTTTTATTATCCTTTATGCGCACCAATGCAATCCCAACCCCATACAAAAACAGGAAAGAAACACTTCCCCTTAACACTCAAATTGATCTTTTATACTTCATTTCTTTTCTTGGGAATTTATTTTTACTTAATAATACCTTTTGAATCCCAAATACCTTTTCCACTCAGGGGCAGTGCTAAGTCACGTGCAGAACATGAAGGGCGCAGCTTACCTCATGCGTGTCCATAAACTCATAAAAGGAGCTTGAAGGGAGAACAGTGTCTTTATGATCTGGCGTGTCTTGGTACCTGCTTAAAATCACTTTTGTTATGATTTAGCTGGATACACTTTGTATATATACAGGAAAAATAAATTCTTTTTTCTAGGAATATAAGGGCTGTCCAACACACAAAATGATTTCATCCTTTTCTGCATGAGAACAGCCAAAAAACTTCTGGCAAATACGCAGGGTTCGTGAGACATGAAATTCAACGATGCCGAGACACATCAGGCGCGCCTCTTCTTGACTGGCAGTGGATTGTCTTCCCCTGAGGAGGCCCTCCTCCAGCAGCGTGATCCGAATCCCAGGCCGTCCTTGTAGCTGAAGAACCAGTGGTGCGCTGCCCCCTTGTGGGAGAAGTGGACATTGCAGACCTTTCATCACAAGAAAACCGAATTTGTCTTTTAAATTCATCTGGAAAAATCGAGCCTGTTCAATTCCCAGGGGGCACGCAAGCCAAATTGGATCTTGAGAAGGACATTATCTTACAGAAACGTCTTCCAAACATGTTATTGTGTTTATTTTAAAAACCCACTTTATATATAACAACACTGTTGTGTTATTAACACATGCCTATGCTTGTTTTTACACAATGGAATTTTTTAACCAAAAGTTGGATCGTTAGCTTTATTATAGATTCAGTCTGATTGGTAACATCACAAGAGCTGACTTCCAAGAGAAAATATCTGGCTTTTTATAAAGCGAGGAATTATTTTGTAAAGTAAATAGTACCTGCCTCTATCTCCCACCACCAATTTATTCTGTAAGTTCTGATTTTAATGAAGTATTTCTCAAAGTAGTTACCATCACTTAACTTCCTGCAGTAATTCTAGAATTTCTCCCCATCTTCTTTGCTCCAGCATTACATGGGCTATAGCCACTGTTTTTAAAAGTCATTTCTGCACTACCACATTAGTGAGTAGCAGCCCTCCACCTGCCCACCTTTGGTGTATAAACCACCCAGCTAAAAGAAGCAATACACCGGGCACAGTGGCTCACGCCTGTAATCCCAGCACTTTGGGAGGCCGAGGCGGGTGGATCACCTGAGATTGGGAGTTCAAGACTAGCCTGACCAGCAGGGTTAAACCCGTCTCTACTAAAATACAAAATTAGCAGGGCATGGTGACACATGCCTGTAATCCCAGCTACTTGGGAGGCTGAGGCAGGAGAATCACTTGAACCCAGGAGGTAGAGGTTGTGGTGAGCTGAGATAATGCCATTGCACTCCAGCCTGGGCAACAAGAGCAGAACTCCATCTCAAATAAAAAAGAAAAAAAAAAGCAACACAAAATAAACTGGTCAAAAGAGACTCGCTATCCTCTCTCTCACAGGAGGCTGAAGACACTCACACTTCCTCCTTTTAAGTCTTCAGCTTTTCTTCGTTATCACACCCAAGGCTTTCATAGCTGGTCAGAACCTCAGCGCTGGAAGAGGCCTGCGAGAACACTGCACTAAATTTTTTCATCTGAAGACGGACCCAGGCCGTCATCTCTTGACCCCCTCATCCAGTGCTGTTCTCCTGCACCTCCCTGATGAGTTTCAACACTCCATTCCCTCCGAGAAGCCAAGCCGGAGCACCTCTAAATTGAACGAGCCAGAAACAGAGAACTCTATGCAAACAACACCACTGCTCGGAGGTGATAAGGGTAAGCAAATAAACCACCAGGGAGAAAGAGAAGCAGAGTTTTGGCTCTCACCACCCTGGAGATAAACAAGTGTTTGATCTGGGCTGAGTGCATATCCCTTATCTGGTGAGAGATAACATTCACACTCAGAGGGAGTCTGTGCTTGCAGCCAATAGGTTTGGAATCCTACTGAGCACTGACCTGGCTGGCACATGGGCTGAACCAGGGCTCCGGAATGATGGACCAGGGGAAATTCTGTTACCACTCAGGGGGAAAGAAGGGGTCCTCTTGAACTCCTGAGAGCTCACAGGCTAAAGAGCCCTAAAAAAACAGTCACAGAAGCCTCAGCTAGGGGAGTCCTGATGACCACAGTCCCATCCGCATGGGCCAGTTAGGCATGTTATGAATTTTCCAATCTGCTCCATAAAGCTACCTAGGAAGAACATCAGAAGCCTTATTCTCTTGCTCACTGTTGAGGCGATGGAAGCTAAGAAAGCAGTGTATGCTAGGCACTGTGGCTCACATCTGCAATCCCAGCACTTTGGGAAGCCAAAACAGGCAGATCACTTAAGGCCAGGAGTTTGAGACCCGCCTGGCCAACATGGTGAAACCCCGTTATCTAGTAAAAATACAGAAAATTAGCTGCATGTGGTGGCATGCGCCTGTAGTCTCAGCTACTCAGGAGGCTGACACAGGAGAATTGCTTGAACCCAGGAGGCAGTGAGTTGTAGTGAGCCGAGATCATGCCACTGCATTCCAGGCTGGGTGACAGAGTGAGACTCTGTCTACAGGAAAAAAAAAAAAGAAGGCAGTGAAGAGTAAACTCAAAGGGAAACCAGTACAGTGGCCTGTCTCTAGAGAGTCTTGATCAGGATCACCTTTATAAGGATGATAATGTTGACAATAAGAATAATAATGGCTGCTAATATTTGTAGAGCGGGAGAGAACACAGGAGCCTGAAGGGGAGAAGGTGGAAGAGGCTTCCACACACCCTCGCCACCGTCTGTTAAGGTCTCACCGCAGCAGAGCAGCAGATTGCCTCCCCAGGCCCACTCTCCCCTCCCACCTCAACAACAGGAACCCATGTTAATCACAGCACATAATAAAGACTGTATTTCCCAGTCTCCCTATCAGCAAGGTGTGAACACCGTGGAGCATGAGGATGGGCCTGTCGTCCAGAGGTGGTGAAAACAAAAGCATTAGGAGTCTGGCCCTGGTGATTTGGGAGCCACCATACCCGTCCTAGGCTGTTTACCTTGACGACTTTGACAAGAGACAAAAATACTTGTTTCTTGTTTAAGCCAATTAGAGTTTAGGGCTTTCCTTGTATGAACGGATGACTGTCTTTATCCCTTTTGTGATGCTATAAAAGAACACCTGAGACTGGGTAATTTATAAAGAAAAGATGTTTATTTAGCTCACAGTTCTGCAGGCTGAGAGGTTCCAAGGGCACAGCCCTGGCTTCTGGTGACGGCGCTAACTCATGCTGCCTCACAAGATGGTGGAGAAAGTCAAAGGGGAAGCAGCTATGTGAGAAGAGAGGGAAAGCTGAAGGGCTCCTGAATTTATAACAACCCACTCTCAGGGGAATCAATCCATCCCTGCGAGAACTAGTCCAGTCCCACAAGAGACAGAGCTCACTACTGAGAGAACAGCACCAAGCCATTCATGAGGAGTCCACTGCTATCACCCAGACACTTCCCACTGGGCCCCATACCCCAGCAGCACCACGTCAGGGCTCAAATTGCAACATGAGCTTTGGTGGTGACAACCCAGCTGTATCTAAACCATAGCAGATACCTAATCCTAACTACCCGCTACTAACTTGCAAAAAATTTGTACAGAGGGGAAACAGGCTCAGTAAAAGTAAATGACTTTGCCCTAAGACATGCAAGTATCACCTGGCAGAATTCGGTTTTGAATCCGTCTGTCTGATCCGACACTTTATTTTTCCAGCACAGTCCATACTAACAAATGTAATGGGAACAGGCATGTATGTGGTGCTTTATCATTTGAAAATATTTTCATATACATCATGCGATGTGTACAGTTTTGGATTTTTTTTGGCTGCAAGCAACAGAAACAGACTCTGAATAACTTATGAGAAGACTCTTAGGAATATTTAGGGTAGCAAATTAGGGATCAATTAGAGAAGCAAAACTAGGGATTTTTTTTTTCTTTCTTTTTTTAGATGGAGTCTCACTTCTTTGTGCAGGCTGGAGTGCAACAGTGTCATCTCAGTTCACTACAACCTCCACCTCCTGGGTTCAAGCAATTCTCTTGCTTCAGCCTCCCAGGTAGCTGGGATTACAAGCACATGCTGGCACGCGTGGCTAATTCTTGTATTTTTAGTAGAGACAGGGTTTTACCATGTGGACGAGGCTGGTCTGGAACTCCTGACCTCAAGTGATCCGCCTGCCTTGGCCTCCCAAAGTGGTGGGATTACAGTTGTGAGTCACCAAACTTGGCCTCTTTTCTTTTTTTAGATAACATAATGAGTTTATATTTACTATAGTGCTTCTCATTAGGAGGATGTTACTCGGTTAACATAAAGCTGTTTTCTTAACATTAAATCTCTTTTCCATGTCAATGTCTATCATGTTTTTTAATATTAAATCTTTTCTGCATTTCAATGTTAGATACACTGAATACATTTTTCTAAACATTGTTCCCCAGAGATAGAAGTTTCCCTTTTTGGCTGACTATCTGATACCAAAATACAATATTACCTTGAAAGGCAAAAAACCAAAAATCTAATAAAACCATGGACAAAACACTCCTCAGTGATTCAGAAGGCAGCAATTATAACTGAACAGTAAGGCTGGGCACGGTGGCTCAAGCCTGTAATCCCAGCACTTTGGGAGGCTGAGGCGGGTGGATCACGAGGTCAAGAGATCGAGACCATCCTGGTCAACATGGTGAAACCCCGTCTCTACTAAAAATACAAAAAATTAGCTGGGCATGGTGGCGTGTGCCTGTAATCCCAGCTACTCAGGAGGCTGAGACAAGGAGAATTGCCTGAACCCAGGGGGCGGAGGTTGCGGTGAGCAGAGATTGTGCCATTGCATTCCAGCCCCGGTAACAAGAGCGAAACTCCGTCTCAAAAAAAAAAAAAAAAAAAATGAAACAACCAAGGAACAGGAAACTTTGGCAATTTGTTCCAGGCGACACAGCCAATAAGTTCACCATATTTTTATATATTTAGTTATATATAACTAAAAAAAAATGTTTAGAAAAATGTATTCAGTGTATCTAACATTGAAAGGCAGAAAAGATTTAATATTAAAAAACATGATAGACATTGACATGGAAAAGAGATTTAATGTTAAGAAAACAGCTTTATATTAACTGAGTAATATAAAAAAAAACTGAACAGTGGTGATTTCTTAAGATTCTGGGCAAGAACTTCCTTCTTCCTATTTCACATGCTGTGAGAATTCTAAAACTAGGAAATATTACTTCCATCCATTTCAGCCCTCTTACTTCTTTGACCTCCTTTCTAAACAGCAAATACAAATTATAGGCTGCATTTTTCAGTGCAGTATTTGTTGTAAAGAAAACATTTTTAAAAATGTTTATAAATGTATCTGTTTGTTCCCATTTCATGGAAACAATGAAGAATGTAAAACTCCCTTATTTCCCAATTCTTAGAAACTTTCAGACACCAAAACTCAGGTTTAGCCTCAATAGCACAAAGGTTTCCAGGGTGAGATTTGATTCAGTAAGCCCTTCAAAGTCACATCTGTCCATCTCTTTTCTGCCAGCACAGAAGCCTATCATGCTGGGAACCACACCTAACAAGAGAGTGACTGCGTCCCAGACTTCAACTGCCTTAACAACAGGCAGCATCAAAGGTGTGACAGGAGGACTAAGGACAACTGTGTTCAAACTGAAGTCATGATGTTGGAATCTTGAGGGCTGAAAGTTCCAGAGACGATATGGAATTATATTTGACCTGAAATGTTCCCTTCCTGGAGCTCCGGATGCTGCAATTAAGAGGTTCCATGTGACACTGCCTTCCGGTAAGCAGCCATAACAGGCATCAGCACTAGTGATTTCTTACCAGGGTTTGATCTTACCTACCCGTGGGAGCTGCTGACATAGTTTCTGTAAGGCTCCTGTCCTCAGGTCTGACGCTGGAGCTTGCAGTCCTCAGGGCAGGCAGCTGGGCCAGGGAGATGGGTGTAAAGTGGGGGTGAGCAAGAACAAGCTGGAAAACACCTGCTAGAGACCATGAGGATGAGTTGAAACTGTGCCTCTGATTTGGGTGGTATGAGTGTCCTGCAGAAGTCAGGATCCTTCATCACAGACCTAAGCAGTCCCGTCTGGCTCAGACGTCGGGAAAGCTAAAGGAGGAGCCTGGGAAGGGGAGAGCAGCTGCAGGCCCAGCCCTGCCTCCTGCTAACGTGGTGAGCCAGCAGAAAGTGACAACGTGTGCAAGCTACAAAAACTGCTGCTGCTTCACTTCCACCCTGCGAATCTCACCCCAGGAGCTCCCACGTGGCCCACCCTAACTGTAAACATACAGGGAAGTGAATTCTGGGAAATGTAATTCAGCCTCACCAGGTTGGCATTTAGAAAGCCACCTCAGGTAGCACAAGGAACTGAGGGGAAAGCTCAAGAATCAGGTTTTGGACAGGAAAGGAAACAAAGGAGCTCAGGGGGTCAGTGTGGCAGATAGGCACTCAGGCTCTAAGTCTGAATTGCCTCCAACTGAGTTTCCTCCTTGTACTGCTCAAATTTCCAGGGCAGAGTCCAGCTGGCTCATGCGGGTCATGTACTCCTTGGCCAGAGGAGGGTGGACACTTGGTTGACTGTCCAATATCAATGCATGCAATGGGGGAGTGGTGGTCCCCCAAAGGCTAATCAAAGCACTGTCATGAGAGTGAGGGAAGTGGATGCTGGACAGGCAGACATGATGATTGCTCACTGCCCCTGTGAATGCTACAGAATAGGGAGGCAGGAGGCACTGAAAACAAATTTCGCTGCTGCTCAGGTTCATTTCTAGTCTTACTCTGAAGTCAAGCTTTTGGAAAGTAGACACGACATGTTTCTCATACTCTTCCCAATACCTAATCATAACAAAGGACTGACGTTTAGGGTGAAGACAGCAAAGTAGCCCAGAATCAGGGCTTCTGGTTACCACTCTTCTTTCTGTCAGGGGTGTGTGTGTGTGTGTGTGTGTGTGTGTACATGCACACACATTTTCTAGAAGGGTACAAAATTTTCAGATGATCAGAGTGACCCCCTAGAGGTTACCACCTACCTCTTTAGGTTTGGTGTATCTGCAATTCTGTGTTTTCAATTAATCGATATTTATCAGATGCACTGAGAAACTGTGTAGTGTAGTAATTAAGTCTGGGCTCTGGAGCCCAGAATGCCTGAGTTAAAATTCTAATTCTACCACTTCCTAGCCAGTTAAGGAAGTTCCTTCACCTTTGTATGCCTTGCTTTCCTCATCTGTAAAACAGGGGTAATGATCATAGCTCACAAGTTTGTTGTGAGGGTTTAATAATTAGTGCATGTGATGGTCTTAGGGCTGTGTCTGGTGCATAGTATGTGCTCAACACAAATTTAGTTATTATTTCCCAACATTGCTTCAGGATCTGTGGAAGTGTGGGACGCAATCTCATCTTGAAGAACTTAAAATTTAATCAAAGAGACAAGAGCAACAAGAGCCAACATCTGTGGCATTAAGTGTTAAATTGTGTGGTGCCAACATGTAAAGGAATCGAGAAGGAAGCAGAGCAGTGAAGGATGAGGAAGCTAAGGATGGCTGGACAGAAGGGAAGAAGCCTTGGCCTGGGCTGGTGGGATGGCGGGACAGGCCAGGGGAGATCACTTGGAGTGAAGATATTGATGAGGGGAATGCACGTGGCATGTTGGGAGAAAGATGACATAGTAGAAAAGAGAGGACACTGATCGCAGAGTAGGAGCCTGCGGTTTTGTTATGATGACTTTTTGGCTTCAAGACAGCGGAATCCAACTCATATCGGGTTAATACAAAAAGAGGAAGTGTGAAACCGTGAAGTGCAGAGATAAATTATCTTCTGGCATGGCAGAACCAAAGGTTCAAACTCAAATCTTGCTACTGGGGCAGTGTCTCTTGGAGTCTTAGCTCTCTTTCCTCTGGGTTGACTGTATTCTCAGGCAGGCTCTCCCTATATGGTGGCAAAGGTGACTGGGTGTGTATTATCCCAGCTGAGCAACCCCAGTGGGCAGAGAACAATTCCCCCTGCCTCATCAGTTTCTGCAAAAGCCTTGGGATTGAGGCTCATTGACCTGGCTGGGTCACCTGCCCATCCTTGAGCTAATTGTGACTATCAGGGAGAATGAGTGTTCTCAATATTCAGGCCCCATCATGAGCCCACAAATTTCAAATAACTTAGAGCACTGAGGTAGTTCCCACAGCAAAGTCAGGCTGCCACCATGAGAAGGGGAGCTGACACTGGGCAGGCAAGAGTAGCGGATGCCTTTAGAGGGCTCAATCCCAGGCCAGCTCTTCATGAACTCTAGATCTTTGGACAAGTCATTCAACCTTTGCAGGCCTGAACCTGTAACCTGAAAAAAGAGTCTGCCAATCACACAGGATAAGGTCTGCATAGGCTCTCTGAAGAGATCGAGCCTCCTACAAATCTCAAGGCCATTGTTAAGAGGAGACCAGCCTGAGCAGACAAGTAGATGTGTGTGTGTTTATTTTGTTTTGTTTTCTGAGATGGAGTCTCACTCTGTTGCCCAGGCTGGAGTGCAGTGGCTCAGTCTCTACTCACTACAACCTCTGTCTCCCAGGTTCAAGAGATTTTCCTGCCTTAGTCTCCAGAGTAGTTGGGACTACAGGCATGTGCCACCACATGCAGCTAATTTTTTGTAATTTTAATAGAGATGGGGTGTCACCATGTTGGCCAGGCTGGTCTTGAACTCCTGACCTCAGATGATCCACCTGCCTTGGCCTCCCAAAGTGTTGGAATTACAGGCATGAGCCACTGTGCCTTGCATTGTTTTGTTTTCTGAGACAGGATCTGACTGTGTCACCCAGGCTAGAGTGCAGTGGTGCAATCATGGCTTACTGCAGTCCCTCTTAGGTTCAAGCAACCTTCCACCTCAGCCTTTTGAGAAGCTGGGACTACAGACATGTGCCACCATAGCTAATTTTTTTGTTTTTGTATAGACAAGGTCTCCTGTTGGGGTCCGGAATGTCTGCCGGGGGCTACCGACCTGCGGGAGTCCCCAAGACCACCAACGTAGATGTCTCATTCAACCTGAGGGAGAGAGTGCACAGAAGTAAAAGAAAAAAGGAAAGCAGAGTCTGGAGGTCTGTGTAACTTACAGTCAGAACACAGCACTTTATTTTTGTAGGTTACAGCTTTTATACCTTTTTTCTTGTTACATTTACTTTATCTCAGCAGAAAAGGGGTAAACAGAAAAGAGAACAGAAACCACATAAAAATAGTTATCAGGGGCTTGTGATAACAGCTCACAAAGCAGTTTTAAGGGGGCTTGTGGTAATAGCTTACAAAGCAGTTTTAAGGGGGCTTGTGGTAATAGCTTACAAAGCAGTTTAAAAGTTAATGTATGTTTTTCAAAGATACACAGTGCAAACAAACAATGGTGCCCTTAAGGTGGCTTGTTAACTATGTTTTCCATCAGGAGGTAGAGCAAAGGCTCAGCTCCTGAGAAAATATGGGCAGGGGTCTTTGCCCCTCTCAGGCATCTCAATTGCAGCAAGCCTATTGCTTACACAGAGACTAAAGGGGATATGAAAGCAGTCAGCACAACGTCCTCATAAACCGCAGGCCCTTGTTCTGCATTCTGTTTTTGCCTCAGTGGCTTAGCCATTTTTACCTCAACTCGACAGCCCTTGAAAGCGGGGGGAGAGCAGATAGGTCCAGCAGCCAAGATGGGGCGAGTCACGCTAACTGTCTCAAGCCCTTGGCGCGAACGCTGCAGTCTCCCTGTGTTGCCCAGGCTGGTGCTGAACTCCTGGACTCAAGCAATTCTCCTGCCTTGGCCTCCCAAAGTGTTGGGATTACAGTCATGAACAATGACGCCTAGCCAGCGCAAGTATGTGGGAAATAAAGTGCCTAAGAGGGGTGTCACAGAACCCTGAAGAGGACACAGAAACAAACGCAATGGACTCCTCAAGGGCAGGAGTACAATGACATGTTCTCGGTTCACTGCAACCTCCACCTCCCAGGTTCAAGTGATTCTCCTGCCTCAGCCTCTCAAGTAGCTGGGACTCCAGGTGTGCATTACCTCACCTGGCTAATTTTTGTATTTTTAGTAGAGACAGGCTTTCATCATGTTAGCCAGGCTGGTCTTGAACTCCTGACCTCTAGTGATCCACCTGCCTCAGCCTCCCAAAGTGCTGGGAATATAGGATTGAGCCATCCCACCCTGCCCAGGCTCTGTTACTCCTGGCCTCAAGCGAACCTCCTGCCGCGTACAGGAATGAGCCAATGCGCCTCACCTCATGTGCTGTTTTTATTCACCAGGAAAAGTGGGATTTCGTGTGGAACTCAGAACTTACTTGTCAGGCACTGTCTACAACACCCAAGTGAGTGAGTCTCACTTAGCTCAGAGTGAGACTATGACCACGCTTAGCTTAGAGTGAGACTACCAGGTGTTCCTTGTGTAGGAGAGGGGTCTGTGGAGGGAGGCGATGTGCCATTACAATGGTCAGCCAGAAGGATCTCATGAAAGAATATGAGAGTCATTCCTGCCCAGTCCTCACCAGGGACAGGTGCAGGCTCAGCTGCCAACAGAGACCCATTTGTCTTTAGAAGTCTAGAGTCATCACATTTATTTGGTAGCAATATGGATTGTTGGGCCAAACAGACCATAACTTAAAACGGCAGTCTCTCAATTGTGCCGCTGGTATTCATCACTGTAATAAAATTGTCTAATTGAAAAAGCTATATTGACAAACCAACAAGCAGTACATTGATTTAGCAGCAGTTTTGAATTATTAAGTCTGCAATTTTTAATTCCATAGAACAGCTACATTTTTCATTGGGTAGACCTT